ACACACACACACACACACAAACACACACACACACACACACACACACACACACACACACACACACGAAATCAAATCATCTAAAAATGTCACTATTCTATTTTTTTTTAAGGAGAGTCTCTCTCTGTAGCCCAGGCTGGCCACTTGTGGCAGTCCCCCTGTTTCCACCTCCTGAGTGATTACAGACATGCTCTTACTACACTCACTTTTATATGGTGCCGGGGATTGAACCAGTGTCCCCCACATTTGGGGCAAGCACTTTACCAACTGAATCCTACTTATCATTGTTTTTATTATTATCTTTTTTTTTTTTTTCGAGACAGGGTTTCCCTGTGGTTTTGGAGCCTATCCTGGAACTCGCTCTGTAGACCAGGCTGGCTTTGAACTCACAGAGATCCGCCTGCCTCTGCCTCCCGAGTGCTGGGATTAAAGGCGTGTGCCATCAAAGCCTGACTATTGTTGTCTTTTTTTAAAGTTCTGAGACAGACTTTAAAAGATATGAGGTTTATTCCCAACTGTGGGTCACTTGATTTGATTTTATTTTTGAGACAGGGTCTCAAACTGTAGCCCCGCCTATCCCGTAACTCACTAAGTAGATTGGGCTGTCCTTGAACTCACGGAGATCCACTGACCTCTGCCTCCGCAGTACTGGGATTAAAGGTGTGAACAACTGTGGGTCACTTTTTAAAAATCGTTGCCCAGCCCTGGGAAAGGAGCAACAAGACTGTGACAGGGAGCGACAGTGCCCTTTAGAATAGAAGACAGCCACGTTTTTGTCCCTGGCTGGGCAATCACGCATAGATGTTCTGTGATGCTCCTAGGATGGTATTTCCCAGGCATCCATGATGGCGTCTCCCAACCTTTGCCTCACTTTCCTCCACCTGTACAGTTACACTGCCCTCATCTAAGGACCAACTTCTTTTAACTTAATAAATTTACTCTAAAAGCCAGTCCTGTGGGAAGTCAATACTGTTCGATATAAATAGCAGATAGCCATTAAGATAACTGTAGTAAGAACGCATAAGGGCAAAGTATTATATTGCCTTCTAGCTGAGTATCAAGTTGCTGACCAAGGGCTTTGAGCCAGGGACCAGTCTCCTCTGTTGGATGAGAACCATCAAATATCAGGGACACGATTGTCTCCCTGGCACCCAAGGGGACGGCGGGGTTCTGGAGGCTCGAGAACATTTCTGGTACCAGCTGCAAGGGTGAAGGTGCCTAAGGTGACCCTTGGTCCTGTGGTTTGGGTCTGAGTGTCCCCCAAAAAGGCTCTTGGGTTGAAGACTGGGTCTCAGCTAGTTATGCCGCTGAGAGGTAATTGGGCCACGGGGGTGGTGACGTCATCGATGGATTAACCCATTGGTGTACTCAGGGCTGGATGGGGTTGTTAGGAGGTGGGGTCTGATTGGAGAAAGTAGATGACCGGGAGTGTGGCTTGCCTTTGGATCCTCCCTGTTTACTCTCTGCTTCCTGGCTTTCTGGGATGTGAGCACTCTGTATTGGGGTTTTCATGGTTTTCTGCCTTGCCACAGATTCACAGCAACGGAGGATGCTGAGGATCCACAGCTGAGGATGCCGAACTGAACCCTCTGAAATTGTGACTCAAAATCAGTATTTCTCCTACAGGTTGTTACCCTTGGGTAGTTTGTCCCAGCAGCAGAACGCTGACATCCTCGGGTCTGATCATTCCTCGGAAGGACTCACACAACCCCTGGGTGCTGTGAATCTTGTTGGCACAGAGGTTTTTATTTCGTTATGTTACATGTATGGGCATTTTGCCTACATATATGTCTGTGTGACACATGTGTGCAGTGTCCTGGAGGCCAGAAGACAGCATCATATCTCCTGGGTCTGGAAGTTGTGAGTCACCATTTGGGATTTCAGCCTGGTCCTCTGGAAGAACAGCCAGTGTTTTTAACCTCTGAGTCATCGCTCCAGACCCTGGTCACAGCTTCTTACAGAAAAGAAAGAAAGAAAGAAAGAAAGAAAGAAAGAAAGAAAGAAAGAAAGAAAGAAAGAAAGAAAGGTATTAAAATCCACTAGAGAAACAGAGGTCTGGGGGAAGACTCCTGCACAACGCTTCCAAATGGTCGCTCCTGATGTGTGGACAGTGTTAACTTCTTCAAGCAACAGCTTGGGACAGGGCACGTGCCTGCTGTCATGATCCCAGTGTCAAATGTCCCCACAGGATCATTCTGGTGGTCTAGCCAGTGATGGCGTAACTTTAGATGGCCTTAGAAACATGGGGCCTCATCAGAGGACATTGGTTCCAGGGGGTATTCCTTTAAGGGTTATAGGATACGTGCTCTCTTATCCCTCCCGGATCTCTCCGCTTCCTGAAGTGAACAGCCTCTCACACACACTGCCACTACCAGGACGCCCGAGTCCATGGCCAAGTAACCATAGACTGAACTCTCTGAAATCAGGATCCCAAGTGATTCTTCCTCCCTTAAGCATCTTCTCAGTTTTGCAGCAGAACAACCAACCGGGGGTACCCACAGTTATCTTGGTGTCTGAGGTTTTTACTGGGGCTGCCTTACACCTGATGGTTGATACCACCATGGTGGCGGCATTAGCTTCCAGCTGCTAAGGAGATGGGACTAAGACTGTGTGACACTCACCACAAATTACATAGTTATACACCCTCTAGTATGACCAGAAGCATGGACTGTTAAGATAAATCTTTCCATCAAAAGCTGCTGAGCCCCACCGCCACGTGTGTGCTTTATGCCAGCCACCCGCCTGAGTTAGGGCCCAAATGAATACACAGAAACTTGTATTAGGTTCAAAGCTGCTTGGCCAATGACTAGGATTCTCATCTGTTAGCTCAGTCTCAATTATCGTAAATCTATATATTTTATAAGACTTGTCAGATGCCTTATTGGTGTCCCTCCTTGCCGGTGGATCACATTGCTCCGATGGAGGAAGAGCAGAGGGGAAAAGGGGACACTTCCTGTTCCCTTTGCTTAAATATGAGTCTCCTTGCTATGTCACTTCCTGCCTGGATCACCACTTCTCTACTACATTTCCCAGAATCCTCTTTGACTCCTACTCCTATCTAACTTGCTGTCTCATTGGCCAAACAGTATTTTATTCAATAATCAATAAGATAAACATACAAAGAAGTACATTCCCCATCAATGGACATTCTTTTTTTTTTTTTCAAGACAGGGTTTCTCTGTGTAGCCCTGGCCATCCTGGAACTCTCTCTAGACCAGGCTGTCCTTGAACTCAAAGAAATCCACCTGCCTTTGCCTCCAAAGTGCTAGGATTAGAAGTGTGGACCACCATGCCCAGATGACATGGACACTCTTTTGTTGTTTTTTGAGACAGGGTTTCTCTGTGTAACAGCCCTAGCTGTCCTGGAACTCGCTCTGCAGAAAAGGCTGGCCTCGAACTCAGTGATCCACCTGCCTCTGCCTCCCGAATGCTGGGATTACAGACATTGCGACACCATACCCACCCATAAAGCAGCTCTCTTGAATGTTCTGTACCCTGATAACAGGGCATATATAAGACATTTTCCTGGTGAAATGTAAACAAACATCTATTCACCCAAATAGGGCACTGATGACAGACCAAAGCAATGACTCCACCTGAGTCTGGTTTAGTGACACTGTGAGTTTACTCGGCTTGCTCACAGGAGTAGAGTAAGGGTTATGAATAGGAACATGGATGATTTAAAAGTAGTTACATCACTGACAAGCTCACACTAGTCTATGAGGCAACTCCTGTATCCTTGAAGCTGCCTGCTTGACTTATAGGCAGCTCAGGCTGCTGGGAGAAACCCCTCTCTAGCTGTTGTTTCAGGTGGTCTAACCTTGGGGAGGGCCCTGTGAATCTTATAAGTTCCAGGGGCTTCCTGAGACTTCTGAGTTGTTTTTCACTTTCTGAACACTCATGAACTTCCCTCCAAGAGATGATATTTCAGAGGAATTAACTAAGAAACAGGACATGTTGCTGTCTATTTGTGTTGCCTAGAAGAGATGGAGGTATGCATTTAAAATCATTAAAGTTTATTGTGTCTATGTTGTATCCTCATGCAAACCACACCACAGCTGAAATTCAAAAGGCAGTTCTCTAGGTGGGGACAGTTCTCAGACCCTGGCTACAAGGGGATTCTGAAGGTGACTTGTGTACTCCTGCATGGGTTGGAGTGTAGGGAGACACCATAACCATGGCTCCTAAGAATTGGCTACAGATGTGCCCGACCACGCCCATGGTCAAGGTGATGTCAGGGTGACTCTTGGGAGAGGTTTTAAAGGGACAGACGAGGCACATGGCTCGCTCTCTTGCCTCTCTGGCCTTGCTGCTTTTGGCACGCTCTGGCTTGCTGTTGGCTGGCGTTTATCTATTAAAGTTATCCTAACCTTACGGATTTCGTATCAGTTTTTCACTGTATTAGAGGAGGGAGGATTTCTTTAGTGGGTTGGTTTGGTCATGTCCCGGGGTATCATTGCAGCATGGTACCACTCCCATAATCCACCCCCCAAAAATGATCTTATCAACCTCCAGTTTCCACTATTAGGCTGGACAGTTCTCACCTCACAATCTTGGTGACTTATGCTCAAGGCTGGTTTTCCACCCACCTTGCATGTCCATTACGGCCAGCCTGGAGCTATGATGGAACCAGAGCTGAGAGGGAACCCATTGTTAGAGACGTTTATGACTGTGATGGAGAAAAACGAGAGCAAGTGGACAGCCTCCGCCAAGAAGAGACACGGCTCATCTCTTCTCACCCTTTCATTGGCTACAAGTCACAGGGCTGCACGCAAGTTCAACAGGGCAGGTACATTCGTCAGGCTGCCCCAAAGATGGATCACCCGAGACATCAAGATGGTGACCCGTGGGGGACCCAGCCCCTTTCGGGGGGAACGGCAGCTGAATCTTCCGCCCATCTCAGAAGTGTGCCGATGCCTCATCTCAGGAGAAGAACTTGACCATAACCTCCTGCTACCTAACAGTCAGAGCCCCCCCCCCCCAAGGCATCCTGGGGAGGGCCCCTTTCTTCTGCCCCAGTTCCTTTTTCCTTGACAGGCTCCCTCACTCTACCCAGCTTAAACCACCCGATAAAACACAAACTCCCCTTTTTTGGTAGGACTGTTCTACAGTTCATGCTGGAAATAAAACAATCTTTTGGCCTCGGTGCAGCTCTGGCAGCTGGTTCTCTTTTAAAGCTCGCAATATTAGCTACTTCTGCTCGGCTGTGACAAAAAGTCCTGACAGAAGTGACTTCAGGGGGCTTTACTGTGGCTCATGGTTTCAGAGGATGTCGGTCCACATGGCAGAACAGTATGGAGTGTGGCTCTGTCTGTGGCGGTGACTGTTGACACAGGAGCAAATCAGAGAGCAACTGTAGAAGCAGCAGCTGGGCTAGAATCTTTGAGTGTGTGTGGTGCTCGGATGGAACTCGGGCCTTGCACATGCTAGGCAAGAACTCCACTGCTTAGCCACCCTAGCCCCTCACTGGGGAACTCCAGGCAAATGTTCCACAGGCTATAATCCTCCAGGTCTTACCTCTAGTGACCCAGCTAGGCTCCGCCTTCTGAAGCTTCCAAAGTCTCCCAAAATAGCACAACCACCATTTCAAATGGTGAGCCCGTAGGGGAGGTCTCAGATCCAAACCCTAACAGCAGGAAAATATGACTTTCTTGTACAG